CCCCCCAAAAAAAAAAAAAAAAAAAAAAAAAAAAAACTGTACCGCCTCTCTGTATTTTAAATTTTTTTTTTAACCTTTTCCTCTTCTCCCTCCCCTTCATATCTCCCTCCTCTCTCCATTTCTCCCCATCTCTCTCTCCCGATCTCTCCATCCAAAACAAATCTCTCCGTCGTCGTTCTCGTCGCCGCCATGAGAGAGATCCTCCACGTCCAAGGCGGCCAATGCGGGAACCAGATCGGTTCCAAGTTCTGGGAGGTCATCTGCGACGAGCACGGCGTCGATCCCACTGGCCGATACAACGGTGACTCCGCCGATCTCCAGCTCGAGCGCATCAACGTATACTACAATGAGGCCTCCGGTGGAAGGTATGTCCCTCGCGCCGTCCTCATGGATCTCGAGCCTGGCACCATGGACAGCATCAGATCCGGTCCCTATGGTCAGATCTTCCGCCCCGACAACTTCGTCTTCGGACAGTCAGGCGCCGGTAACAACTGGGCCAAGGGTCATTACACCGAAGGCGCTGAGCTCATTGATGCCGTTCTCGATGTTGTTCGCAAGGAGGCCGAGAACTGCGACTGCTTGCAAGGTATATATATGCATATATGAATCGTGTTTCTCCGTTTATTTTGTTTTCGGTATCGTATTGCTTTGATCTCATTGCATGTTTCGTGGAAATCGAGGAATCGTAGGATGTGTGGATGAGTACGGAATCGTCGATGCTAGTTTCTCGTGTTCTGATTTCATCGATTGTTTCACATATTTCGTCGCGATAAACACTCTGATTTTGGTATCAATGATTCTCAGATCGATCAATTTAATGGATGTCAAGTCCATGTAAATTCCAGAAATATTTATGAACATATAGAGAGTATTCGAAGATCTCGATTTGTTTTTTGTAGATTCGTTCTGATTGATCATCTGGTTTGATCATTCCTTACCAAATTTCGGTTTGCGATCGCTCGATTCCTAATTCTTCGATTCCTGTCACGGTTTTTTTCCTGATCAAAAGGCAGAGATGTTGGATTCCTGTTGCTCTCTGAATCATTATGTGTTGCATCATTATGGTTCATAAGTTCCTAACTGTAGTGTAGAATAATCACGAATTCAATAGGTACACACATAACGGTATGAGAAGTTTCATGCACCAATTAAATCAAATGGCATTTCCCCATAATCTGGACATGGGTTCCTCCGCAGTATTTGTTTTGTTACTTGTTTTGCTTTCCATGTTCTTCGTGGAATCCCTCTTCAATAATTCATTCAAAATGACAATGGAAATACTGTCTTGAGTCAGCTGTGATCACTTATTGGGAATGCCCTTGCTGTTCCACTACATGGGGATTCGCGAGGATGCGGTTTTGAAAAAAAAATGACATTAATTTGATATTGTCTTTAGGATGAATTAAAAAAGATTATCTTAAGAGTGACTTTGGTACAGTAAGCGGGATGCCGTGGCTCCCACAGTTGGGTTTTTGGAAAATATTTCACAAAAAGTTGGTTTCATTTTGCATGTTGTGACAAATTACGAACTGTAAACTGTGTCGGTAGTCTGTTGTGGCCTGGTCCCCCTATTACAATTGTAAATTTCTTTCAATGATGTTGTAGAGGTGAAGCATATTATTTTCTGCATTATCTAGATAGGGGGAAGTGGGTCAGCAACTATATTGTTTAATAGTTTTGTAGAATATTATTGACCACATCCCAAGAAAGCTCGCTGCCTTCAATTTAAGTAAATACCAAAATACCTCACTGAATTATTGGATCCGGGTAAAAAGGGTCATGGAATTGATGTATGCATATACCATTTGATAGTAGTTAGTGTATATACATACATCCACATACGTACATATATACATAATGTCCTCGTTTCCTTCAAGGGGTGCAACGTTTTTCTTCTTGATTCAGGTTTTCAGGTGTGCCACTCGCTGGGAGGAGGCACAGGTTCTGGAATGGGAACTCTCCTGATATCGAAGATCCGTGAGGAATACCCAGACAGGATGATGCTTACCTTCTCCGTTTTCCCATCTCCAAAGGTCTCTGACACTGTCGTGGAGCCATACAATGCCACTCTTTCGGTCCACCAGCTCGTTGAGAATGCCGATGAATGCATGGTTCTTGACAATGAAGCTCTCTACGATATCTGCTTCCGCACCCTCAAACTCAGCACTCCTAGCTGTAAGTAACAAAAAAAATCCCGGATACTCCAATCCACCGAACGAGAGAATTCGCTAAACCTGGATCAAATAATTCCTTTGTTGTGCAGTTGGAGACTTGAACCACTTGATCTCTGCAACTATGAGTGGAGTGACCTGCTCTCTGAGGTTCCCCGGACAGTTGAACTCCGACCTCAGGAAACTGGCCGTGAACCTGATCCCGTTCCCTCGTCTCCATTTCTTCATGGTCGGATTTGCCCCCCTCACATCCCGTGGCTCCCAACAGTACATCTCCCTCACGGTTCCCGAGCTGACCCAGCAAATGTGGGATGCAAAGAACATGATGTGCGCCGCTGATCCGCGACATGGACGCTACCTCACGGCCTCGGCCATGTTCAGGGGGAAGATGAGCACAAAGGAAGTGGACGAGCAGATACTAAACGTCCAGAACAAGAACTCGTCCTACTTTGTGGAGTGGATCCCGAACAATGTGAAATCCAGCGTTTGCGATATCCCGCCAAAGGGGGTAAAGATGGCATCGACTTTCGTGGGGAACTCGACGTCGATACAGGAGATGTTCCGGAGGGTGAGCGAGCAGTTCACGGCCATGTTTAGGCGGAAGGCTTTCCTGCATTGGTACACGGGAGAAGGGATGGACGAGATGGAGTTTACGGAAGCCGAGAGCAATATGAATGACCTTGTGGCCGAGTACCAGCAGTACCAAGATGCTACGGCCGATGACGAGGGCGAGTACGAGGACGAGGAGGATGGGTACGAGGCTGCTTGATCGTGGTTTTATCTGTTTTTCTTTTGTCGGAACGAAGGTGGAAACGCAAAAACTCGGGTTATATGTTATTAATGTCCTGTATTTTTATTGCATTCGTTTGATTGAAGCACTTCTCTCCTCTCTCTCTCTCTTCTTTGTTGCTTACTAAAATCATATATATATATATATATGTATGTATGTATGTATGTACGTGTTATTGTTGAATTGGTGCAATATGGGAATTTTTTTAATGTGCAAGTTTGTTTGTTATTATGGTTTAAAGACGACTGCTGTTTTGTAATAATCATTGTGCATATATTCGATTTTTAAATATGCGACTAATTAATTAGTCACGTCGACTGTTAAAAAATCGAGATTTCTGTCTTTGGCCTAATGGAAACAATAAAAACTAACCACATGGATTATAATTACCGTTTTCATGACATATTAAGAATTAGAGCTTCACATCTTTTCTTGTCTTATGATTTGAGTGGATCAAGTCGACCGCTAAATTAAAGTGATAAAAAAATTAAAATCAAATAAAAAACACTGAAAAACTATAGATTAAGGTAATTGACATATTAATACACAAACTTGTAAAAAAATCACAAATAAATTCAAACTTTAAAATTTCCAAATAAATACATGAATTCTTTATAATTTTTTTAAAAAATAATGCAAATAAATTATGAACTTTTAAATTATTATCAAAATGAAATTAAATCCTAGATTTTTAAACGAATCCCAAATATTATGGTGTTTTTTTTAGAAAAATTTTAAAAATTAAGGTTTTAACTTTTAATGTAGAAATTAAAAAGAATTCGTGTATTTGTTTGAAAATTTAAAAATTCTTATATTTATTTAAGATTTTGTTTTTACAATAATATGTCATTTTTCCATAAATTACACGAAAATTTTGCTTAAAAGACAAGATGTCCATATTCTTATTTTCTTAAAGCTCATGGGCCTCAAATCAGGCCCGATTTAATAATGATTAATAAAGCTTCCATTTTTTTTTATTTTTTTTATTTTTTTTATTTCCCCTCGTTGAGGAAAAAAAGAAATTTGAATTTCATTTTGGTGCTTTTCTCCTGAATCCAACCCGGGAGTGATTTCAGACTGTGAATCCAAGCGTTGTGTTACTTAGATCGAACCTCAGGATCTCGGAATCATCTGTTTGTGATTTCATCTCTCAGAAATTTTTGATTTTTCGCTTCGTCTTTTGGTGAATTGATCTTTCGATCGATGTTTTTTTGATGCTTCAGTTGCATATGGAGGCTCTCTACGCCAAACTCTACGACAAATACAGAGAACTCAAGGTTCTTGTCCTCTGAATCTTTGTTCGGTGTCTGATTTTCCTATTTTTGGTTCATTTTATGAGTTTCTGAGTTGTTTTGTTGTGGAATTGTGTGTGGTTCGGTTCGTCTTTCTCCTATCTGCAGAAGAAGAAATTGTTCGAAATCGACGAAGTTAATCGGGAACAAGAAGAGAAGTTCATAAGCTTTGTGTCCGGTATGAATCTCTCTCCTTGTTCATCTACATTCGCGCGAGATTTAGTTGGCTCCTAATCAATTTTAGAATTTGAGAATGCTTGGCAAGAGTTCAATCCTCAGTTCTGCGCTTGAAATCCGTTTTTCATCCCGAATTATCGGTGATTACGGGCTCCTTGTAGTGTACATTTTGGTTAGTTAATTGGCTTCAAATTTCTTTCAAGGGCGTGAATGATATAACTGTTTTTCATTTCCGGGTTTTCGAAAGCAACCATGTGAATGAGTTCTTGCATTATCAAAGTGTCTAGCTTTCAAATGCTAAATTCAGTAGGTTATATATGGATTTCGCCCTTGTGGTGAGACCCTTCCTAGACCCCTGCTCAATGGGATGCTTTGTGCACCGGGATGCCCTGCCCCTAATATATCGATTTTGCCCATGGACTACTCATTTATCATCTATCATGTACTGTACTAGTAGTGATAAGTTAAGAGTGTGGTCTGTGCGAATTGCTCAATCTACAGACATGGTAGAATTACGACAGAGTCGAAACTATGTAATGTAACTTGGCCGTAATTGTTTATTAAGACACAGAAAGAGTTCCATTCAGTTTTGGAAATCATCATTGTGGGTTTTCTTTTATATAGGTTATTGCCTAAGTCTAGTGGGAATCCAGCTTTCTCAGTGTGTTCTTCTTTCTTTTGCTTTTGCAGCTGCGGAGAAGTTAATACAGCATCTGAGTAGTGAGAAAGAAAATTTGCAGGGGATAGTGGAGAATTTAACTAGTGAATTGACTTCCATTAGGCATGTACCTTGAGTTATCTCCCTTTATACTGTTAACTTTACCTTGGAAAGCTTTCTGAGCCAGCCATATCTTGTGAAAGTTGGAGCCTCGTGAATCTAACAGTAACAATCTTGATCTTAGATCCGCTAAGGACAAGGATTTTGCCGAGTACCAAAAGCTTCTTATGGAAGAAGAACAGAAGAGTAAGAAGCAAATTGCATAAAGTGTGTCATGGAATGCAGCATTTTCATTGGACATGAACTATGCTAGTTTATGAATCTAGCTGAGTGAGATAACGTAAAGCGATCATAGTGGGTCATGTTGCATTTTCTTTAACATGGTTTGAACGGTTTCCCCTCTGTTTTGCTTCTCCATCTCACTACTTAAAACGGAAATTTCGACAGACAAAAAGCTTTCTGAAGAGCTCGAGAAACTAAAAGAGATGCTTCAGGAGGAACGAGGTTGTAAACCACAGACAAGAACCCCTGAAAGTGCTCGAGTTGTGACGAGAAGCATGAGAAAACGAAGCAGACCCTCGGAAGATATTGCAGAAGTATGCATGACTTCACCTCGTGTTGGCAGCCATGACCAAGTAGTGGTGAGCAAATTACAGTTTCGTCTTTTTCAGTTTATTTCGGAATTCGGATTGAATGATTGATACTATGCATCTTCTTTCTTGCACCATCGGTTTGTTTCACTAACTTTCATGGTTTCAGCCGGCATGCTGCAAAAACACTCGTGCCATATCAAGCGAATCTGTCATTTGTACATTTCAAACCCTCAGCGAATACCTACTGGGGATGGAGCTATCTACTATTAATCAATTCAATGGAGTCTGCATTATCGCCTCGCATCCATCAAGCGGTAATTCATCTAACAAACGCGAGTTCATTACCCGTTTTTTCCCGACAACTTTCGTTATTAATATTCTCTCCTTTTGTTCTTAGGGGTGGCTTATTCGGGTTTGGTTATTTTGGTTTAGAAAACTTATAACCGTTCGGTTATTATATATGAATTCCGTTCAGTTCGGTTAGGTTATATTCGGTTTGGTTACGGGATGATTTGAATTCACAAATGAAGCATGAGTTGCCTTGGATAAGCACTTCTGTGAATCATCTATCCAAATCGCTATAACCACAAGGAAATCACCGAGATGCTGTTCTTGTCACCGTGACAGGTTACTCGTTCAGCCTAACCCGTGTAAACAACTCGAGAGGCGGAGGAGAACCCGAGCTTCTGTACAATCTCGTATCACTCGGAACATTCGAAAGAGTGGCACCGGACTGGATGAGGGATGCTCTCATGTTCAGCCCAAGCATGTGCCCCGTCTTTTTCGAAAGAGTTTCCCGAGTGATTAAGCTTCGGAGCTGATGATTCTAGGGGTCACCGTTTCAGGCTTCGCTTCGGGTCCGGTTATTGCGATTGTAACCATTCCTAGGATTCGGTTCGGATTCTCATTTTGCAAAAAAAAAAAAAAAAAAAAAAAAACTAGTTTTCACTTCCATAAAAAAAAATTAGTTTTCAGTTATTTTTTGTTCTCTTGGACTTTCGGATTTCCTTTCTCCTTGCTCTGGCCGCCTCAGCCGCCAATTTACTAGCATCAACCACGTTGTGCGTTTGCGTCTCCGTTTGCGTTTGAATAAGCGTTTGCGTTTGTGGGTTTTGATGAATCTTCTCGCTACTACCGTGCGTCACTGCTTGACGCTCCACTTGCACTTGCGTTGGAATATTGGCTTTCCTTTGAAACGACGTCGTTCCCACTGGCGACGACGTGGCAATCGTCCGATCAGTCTTGATCGACGGCTCCTGGTGAACTACACACGGGCTGGGATCATCACTGGGTTGCACTTGAGCCGCCTGAATTCATATCATTGATTAACGAAAAACATTTGTAAAAAAAATCTCTAATGATTGAAAATATTTAAAAAAAAATCAGGAAATATGTATATGTAATTAATTAATTAATTACCTTCTTCGGAACCCTACGTAATGCGTCTGGCTCTGACTCCTGTTTCGTATTCTATATTTAAAACCGAAGTAAAGGAAAAAAAACAGCAAAAATAATTTGATCCCCCTAACAAAATAATGATTCTTTGAACAAATTTTTGAGAAAAGTAACTCGGTTTGATTTTAAAATTAAAAAAAAAATCAAAACCCAACAAAAAAAAGAAAATCACAAAAAATATCTAAACTTATCGAGTTTAAGAAAACAAAACCTAAACTTTGTTTCTTATAAAATAAAAAACCAATTTCAATTTTTAGTCGAACAATAAAACTAAACTTTATAATCGTTATTGTCTTTAAATATTAATATAACTTACCGATATCATATGTGATAAGTAAACACTTTCATCATATCATATGCGATATCGATATAAAAAATGATAATTGTTATAAAGTTTTAGGTTTATTTATAATTCAAATTTTATTTAGTAAAAAATAAAGTTTGTTTTATATTCTGTGAAAATTTACTGAGATTTTCCAAAAAAAAAAAAAGGGAAGAAGGACTTACCATGTTACGTTTCCTATTTTCATAATTTTTACTTGGCAATGATTTCTGCGACGAAGCCTCCGGCGGATTTGTGAGAACAGAGTGTTTGGATGGGCAGAACACAACAGGTACGAGAGAGAATTCCAACATAGTTGAAGTAGCTTCAATCTCCCTTTGTCCGAAAACAACTACCGTACGTTCTCCGTATCTACATGAATCGTACGAATCGCGTGTTTTTCTTCCTTGGTTACTGTCTTTCTTCTTCCTCTTCATCTTTTTTTTTTTTTTTTTTGTCTGCGTAAACAGTCTTGTTCGCTGGGGTTTTGGGTTTTTAGAGGAAAGATCAAGGTCTTGCAAGATCTCCTTATTTTATTTTATTTATAGTTTTTTTTTTAATTTTTTATCTGCAGTATCGTGTTTCAATCGAGTTTCCTAATTTTCCTTTTCCTATATTTCAAATTTTTTTTCCTTTTTTTACGTTTGGGCATTTATCTCTTTTGTAACGATTTTTAAGGCCGAAACAACACAAATATTCATGCAGTTCTATAACTCTAATTTTTTTATAATTATTTAAATTACATCTTGTTACGTAAAAATTCGTTTTTCTGTTACAAAAATGCATTGTAAATTCATCCATGACGAAGTTCTCTCAAGTTTAGAATTTAAGATTTCCGGGGCGTCGATGGAAAATTCGGACCAGCTGTTCTTCGCAAACGCAAACCGGTTTGCTAAACCGGACCAGAATTTGAATTGGTAACCGGTCTTATATTAACTTAATTCAAAGTTTTGATTTTTAATTCCGTTTCGGTTCAAAAGTTTAGTAGGAGATAACAAAGAGATCTTATCAACACAACCAAACAAAAACATGATATATCCAAATCATAAATCACAGAGAGGTCGAAACACAGGCAATCATCAAACACCCATAAGTCTGCTACAACTCAAAATCCATGATTTTACCCAAAAAAAACCCTAAAATTCATGATTGGGTATCTATCATGAATTAAAACACAAACAAACATCAAAAAAAAAAAAAAAAAAAAAAAAAAAAAACAGAAGACCCTCTCAAAGAACACATTGTTGCAGATACAGTGTAAGGTTCCTAGCTAAATACCCGGAAAGCACATCCAAAAGCTTCGTTCTCCCTGTTGCTTCCATCTTTTCTGGATTGCTCCTCTCGACCCGAATCCCAAAACACGAAAGAAGTGATACCTCGTTGCGGAAGAAAGGCGAGTTCCCTAACTAAATAATACCCGAAAATCCAAATCCTGAGGTGGGGGGAGAGTTTCCTAGAGCTATATGTTATGTGGGTAATCATCATTTTACAATTTACATCAAAAGGGATGTTTCCTAGTAACAGATAGACTTACATGCAGATGCCTAACTAAGTTCCTAAGGTGTGTCATAGTTGGGGAGATGGAGCTTTCAACTTGGGAACTTTGAATGTCGAAGTGAACAACTTTGGGGTTTCCGAACTCAGAGTGTTACTCTGGTTTTTCCTCTTCGCTCGATTGCTTCTCTGTTCAAAGGTTTTAAAATGGTACAATATCATTTACCCTTTTCTATGTTCTGTTTCAGGAAAATCAGCACACTCTGCTGTCTGACAGCAGAAACTAATCAATTCTAGTATATATATCTACGTGCTTATAACAATCAGTTCTTGGGTAGTAGCAGTACCTGATCACTCTGGTTTAACGAAGCTGGGCCAGTTGCACCAGGCAGATCTTTCTTGGCAGCTACAGTACTAGGTTCTTCTGTCTTGCTGCTTTTACGAATCGTGCAACGGGTTAAAACCGGTGTAAGCTTAGGAGTTCGAGACCTCTTTTCCAACTCTAGCTCCTTTGAGAGCCTTGAGATTTCCCGATCTTTCTCACTTGCTTCCTCCTCCATTGCAGCCACCTTAGCTTTCAATCTTGAGACGATGCCATCCTTCTCTTCATTGGATAATTGCAGCTGCTCTTGATGGGAGACCAGACTTGAAATCTTCACGTTTGATTGCGCGATCTCATCGTCTTTCTCCCTCAATTTATCGGTGAATTCTGTTTCTCGGCGTTTGAATTGATTCCAGGCGAACAGATTTTCTCGTAACAGAGAAGATACCTCATAGTTCTTGTCAGAAGCAAGCTTCCCGTACTCGAGTCTCAGTTTCCTAATCTCGGTTTCCGCCGACTTGTCCCCTGCAGATTGAGAACTGCAAGTTTCATTCTGCATGGAAAAAAACAAACTTCTTTACAACATTGCAAGACAGAATCATCAAGCCATAAGAAAAAAACTTGAGAAGGGTTTAGCTTTCACACCTTTGAATTCATAGTGAGGAAGTCAAACCAGGCTTTAAAATCATCCAACTCATCCATAGCATGATCTGCAAATGCTCCAAAAGGGTACCCCAAGAATCAAACATAGTAAAGATGCTGGTTTCAGGATGTAAACGAACAAAACATTTGTTGTAAATTGTAATACATTTTATAAAGAAGCAGGCTTTAAGTGCGAGGAAAAAAAGGGAGTGGATTCATCGACAGGAAAAATACGATAATTTAAGGAAGAAGAGAATTCGCTAACCCAATTTCACTTTGCCGAGAGAAGCATCCCTATCCTTCAATCCAACCAACAGATTCGATTTCGCGATTTCAGCCACTCGCATCATATCCATCGTTTCAATTTCGTTCTTAATCTGAATAATCATAAATTATGATCGAATTAAAAACATACAAGGATCTCATGGCGACAAAACCCTGAAACCCTAACTTTTTTGTTGCCGGGTTCCTGGAAAATTGGGGACTTACCATAGAGATATGATCCTCGAATAGTCGAACGTCGGAGTTCCAGCGATCATGCTGAGTGTTGATTCTGTCTACCAGAATCTTCCTGTCCTTGAGGAGGGTCTCAAGCTGATCCTGTTTGGTCCGAAGGATCTTGACCAAACCCTTGAAGATTTTATCCCATTTCTCCCGTTCAGAAGAATCTCGAGAGCCCTTTTTCACACCCATCTCAGGAATCTAGTCCCGATTTCAATTTCAATCGAAGAAGCAAAAATCACAGAAGAATTGTACAGGACGAGTGACGAACGAGAGAGAGAGATTTGACCGTTGGAGTTGCGAGATAGAGAGAGTTCGAATAACAAAAAGCCGAAGAGGCGTTTACATGGGCCTATAATTGGGCCTTGATGTGTCTAAGCTTCAAGCCTTTTCCTGGCCTTTTCTTTTCCTGTTTTTGAGTTCTATATAAGATTTTTTCTAGTAATGTCAATTTGGGTTGGGTTTGATGGGTTAACCCAACCCAACCCATTTATTATCATTTTTGGGTTATGTTTTTGGGTTGAAATTATTTAATGGGTTAAATGGGTCTAAACCCATTAAACCCATGGTTTAATGGGTTAACCCAATTGACCCAAATAAAAAACTATTTACAAACCTTTTTTCTTTCTTTTTAAGACCTTTATTTTAACTTTCACGCATTCTACACTCCTAATTTAACAAATTATTTATTAACAAAAACCTTTCTATTTAATTATTTTTATATTTCTGAATATTCATACTTATATTTCCGTTTTCGATTATTGAACTATTTTCGATTTAATTTTTATTTTATAAAAACTACAGTTATTTGATTATTACATAAATTTTGATTCCAATCAAATTTTAAATATATAAAATTAAAATTCTAAATTTTGGTGCCACGTGTCTAATGACTAACTTGAAAAGTTTAGGTCGTGCGAGAATCTTGATCGTAAAGCTTCGAATTAAAATGACACCAATATATATATATATATATATAAACTGTTGATGATGGACCGACCAATCATTATTTGGTCTCTTATCACACTTGAATCATATAATTGATGGGTTTGCTATAATATTATTTAATTTTTGTAAAATCTATACATTATTTGTTTTGCTTTAGAGTAAAACTTTTTCGTAATCAATTATTTTACGTTATGTTCTGACAATTTTTCCATACACGATACATATGTATGTATGTATATATATACGTTTTGTGAATATATTCTTTCTAATGTTTTATTATTTATTTTAATTAAAAAAAGTTTTGTTACAAACTTGAAACATAATTTGGTCGGACAATGAAACATAATTTGGTCTGACAATATATTTCAGTGTATTTGTCTATTTAACTCTTCGTAAAACACTTTTTTTTATTTGATCAAGTACCATTAAAATAGTTTTTTAATTAATTAAGTTAACTAAATGGGTTAATGGGGGCCCTATGGGTTTTGTGGGTTAAACCCAACCCAGTAAACTATTATTGTTGGGTTGATTAAACCCAACCCGCTAATTTATACAACCCATTTGGGTTGGTTTTAAATGGGTTGGGCAGCCCAAATTGACATCACTAATTTTTTCCTTTTTAATCTTGTAACTGTCAGACCTGTTTTTAGGGTTTTAAGGACATATATATATATATATATATATATCATATGTATCTTACCTGACTATCAATATTCAATGATTCTGAAATTAGACGCATGAGGCATTTGAAATTCAAGAGGAGATATTCAGAAAGAGTGAAGAATAAAAAAACCAATATAATAATCTAAGATGGTGTAAAGTTCTAAGACAATTTGCCTTTAAAACATTAGCCACTTTTTGTAACATTCAACTAAAAATAAAAATCTTTCAAATGAAAATGAGGTGCTGTGTATATAAGTGAAAATGCATAAAATCAAAGGGAATCTCACCTTTTCATACGATCCTACTGTTGTGTGTGTGTATATATATATATACACATGAAAATAAACATTCAAATTATATTCTTATCCTATATTTAAATCTGAATGTATAAAGAGGTATCCACCCGTACTTTCTCTGTCTTATCGGAGATATAGTAAGATCAAATGTTTACTGAACTTTCCAATCATAAACAAAATATAACAAAAAAATGGAATTGTATGAGATAAACTAATATGAGATGAAAAAAGAAATGATATTATATTAGCAAGATACCCAATAATTCATTAAATTAGAATTAATTAAAAAAATAGTAGATAATAATTACTAATCAATATTTTTGGTGACCGGTTTTTGTTTCAGTGGACGAATGAATAGTTAGTAACTCTCAATTCGCATATATAAAAAAAATTATAATTCAATATATTCACATACATAATAAAGTTATGATTTTTTATAACACTGAAATTCACCAGATCTTTGATCTGGAAAAATCTATGTAAATGTTCATTTTCAAGTGATGATTTGGAACCGGGTTGAGAAAGATTTTTGGTACTTTCCTTGCAATTTCCAATTATTTTTTTTAAATTATTGTTATACCCTAATTGAAAATTCCGATAGGTTATTAAGGGCTAATGCATAGGGGCGTTCGAGTTGCATTTGCATTCTTTATTTATTTTTTTAAAATAAGAATTTAAGTATTGAAGACCAATTAAAGTTTTTTATATAGTTAAGATGAATTTTTTATTTTTATCATTAATTATAATAATCTATTGTAATTTTTCTTATTTATATACACGTATTATTTTGTTATTTTTATACTAAAATAAAATCATCTAATGAATAAATTTTAAATATAAATGCGTTTTCTTTAATAAAGATGAACTTATTTTTTTAATTATAATAATTTGATGATAATATATAGTTCAAGTGTAATAATTAGCGGTAGATCAATCGATTTATATATAGTTAATGAAGATTTTAATTCAATCCATTAAGATTGAGCAACTTGCTACATAATGATGATATGGATACTTAAATGTTTTCACCAAATCTCTTTAAATCCAATTTTTAGATATATACAGATTGACTGTTTAATATATCATATCACAATTTAAACAAGCATCAAAGAATTTACATATATTTCATGTTATTTCAACAAATATAGAATTATATACATACATGAATAAGGAAATTCGTGCAAAAATAATATGATTCAAGGAAAGTTTACCACTATCAAACAAAGCATACGAATAAGGAAAATACACAAATATGAAGGATTAATCCTTGGATTTGCTTTAATAAAACAACGTTTTTCAAAAAAAAAAAGGAAAAAGGAAAACAGAATCTGTATCTAACACAAAGACCTGAATCTCCTCTCTACACACACACACTATATATATATATATATATATATATAAAGAGTCTGCAGAAAAAAAAAAAGAGAGAGAAGAAAAGCATGGCTGCTATCCCTTACGATCTCATCTTCGAGATCCTCTCGTATCTTCCAAGCAAAACCCTAATGAGATTCCGAACAGTTTCGAAGAAATTCAACTCGTTGATCACAGATCCTCGCTTCTCACGGCTCCATCACCGTCGTTCCCGAGATCGTCTTTTCGCCCTCAGCGCCATCTCCAAGCACCGTGGATCCGACAGCCTCGATCTCCGGATCTTCCTCACCGACGAAAACAACGAGACGATACACGAATTCACGCGTTGTTTTTACAAAGACAGAGTGAATAGAATCATCGGTTCTAACCACCAGCTCCTCTGTTTCGTCCTCGACAATTCCCTCTCTTTATATGATCCCATAAACCGAGATTTTCTCGAGCTGCCCTCTCCGTCCCCTCGGAGAGTTCGTTCCCCACACAGCGTCTCGTTCGGATTCGTCGATTCCACGATGCAATACAAAGTTATCCGATGGTATCTCTCTCATGGTTCTAACCTCGTGTTTGAGGTTCTTACCCTTACTGTCACCCGAGGTTGTCGTCTCGAGATCTCTCCTTGGAGATTATCCGAGAAACACTGTCCGTATCTTCTTCGCCATTCTTCCCCTCCGGTTCACGTAGACGAATACGTATACTGGAGATCGTACGATTCCCAAATCGTATCGTTCTCTCTACCAGACGAGACTTTCTCGGTTCTATCTCGACCTCCTTGCTTGTCGACCAAGAATCAGAGACTTGAAAACGTTCGCGAGTTCATGCTGTATGGGATTCGAGGAAAACTATGGTTAGTGGACTGCGATAATCTCGAGCAGGCCGTGGATATCTGGACGAGAAGCGACGAGAGAAGTTCGAACTGGATCAAGGTTCATCGGGTCGGAGTTTTTTCGGAACGGTTAGCATACACTCGTTCTCCGTTCGAGATGTTGGACATCCATCGCGACTTCGTGCTGTTCCGGCTCTTACACCCGAACGTCGTCATGTACTACGACGCGAGAGAGAAAACCACTCGTGGTACTGAAGAACTCAGAGGAGAGTTGCAGTTATGTCATTACGTTGATGGATTGCTGTCCTTAAAGAACGTTTTTTATTCTTGATTCTGTCCTTTATATTACGTTCTGAGTCTAAACGTTGTTTATGTTGCTTTTCGGCTGTGAATTATTGAAAACTAAACCGCATCAGACCGAACCGGTCCTTCGCAATCTTCAGTCTTCACTAGGGGTGGACGTTTCACTATTCGGTTTGGGAACGAATCGATTTTATAAAAATATGTAGCTATCGATTATTATATTTTATTCGGTTCTGGTTATGTTTTTTTTTTTAATTTAGATTTTTTTAAGAAATTTTCGGTTTTTTGAGTTTCTTAAAATTTAGTTTTGTTCAATTCTTTTTTATAAAAATAATATCGTTTGGGAATTTAGACATTTTGAATCGGAAAAAATATTGTATTTTTTGGTTCGGTATAATTCGGTTTCAAAAAACTGTACCGAGACATCCATCCTAATCTCCCTATTTTCAAAAAATATATAGATAACATTGTGAGTCATTTTGGGTTTCACTTTGTATTCAGTTCAAATATATTTATATGCGGTTAGTTCGATTATGGAAAAACTATAATTATTTAGTTTTTATATCAATTTTGGTTTTATTTCATTTTATTTTTGTTCGGTTTGGTTGGGTTGCATCTATCAATAAAAAAACTAATTTTTAAAAGAATAAATTTGATTTTGTTTATTCAATTCAATTTTTTAAAAAATTAAAGAAATTATAACCGTTTTTATATAAGATTTGATTTGATTATGGTTATATCTTATTGGATTTGTCAATTCGGTTAATAACCTGATCACTTGAACATCTTTGTTTCCATTTTCCATTAAAAAATACATATATATGATTTAGGTTAATTAGTGATAATCAAATGATGATTATGAGTAATCGAAATCTAAAATACATGGTGATACTGACGCATTAGGAAAAATATTAAACGTTCCTAATTCCGCGAAAACACAGTGTAATAGTCACCTGATTTGGCTCACGAAAAACACAATTCGCACGTAACGGGAGTCAGATCTGGCTGTTTATCATCGTACCCAGTTCGAAAGTTTCTATCTTTGTTCCAAAAAACCGAAGAACGAGGGAAGAGGGATCGACGATGAAGGCGGCGAAGAGGCCGATACACACAGTGACGACATGGGTTCGTCGCCAACCACCGAAGGTGAAGGCATTTCTCGGCGTGGTCTCGGCCATGGCGGCTCTCGTTTTACTCAGGATGATTGTTCACGACCACGACAACCTCTTCGTCGCCGCCGAGGCTGTTCATGCCCTTGGAATCTCCGTCCTCATCTACAAGCTCATGAAGGAGAAGACTTGCGCTGGTTAGTTTCTGTTTCTGTCGGAAAACTTTTGAGTTTCTGGGTATGGGTTGTGTTCAGGGATGAAGAATCTCGACTAGATTGGTTCGGGTTCACTGAGAAGTCAATAATTCGGATTAGGGTTTGTTTGATGTCAGCCTATACCTATAATTCATCACAATTTGTCCTACATTGTGCAATCTTGATTGGTATTGTCGAATAGGGTTTCTCTGGAACTGGATTTTGAATCTGTGTAAAGGAAAATTGAGGATGTTTTGGTGATGGTTGGATTATGCTTGATTGCTTTGCAGGGCTTTCTTTGAAGTCACAGGAGCTGACGGCTCTGTTTCTTGCTGTGAGGCTCTATTGCAGTTTTGTCATGGAATTCGATATTCATACTTTGCTTGATTCCGCTACTTTGGTTACCACCGTTTGGGTCATCTATATGATCCGTTTCAAGCTTAGACCCACTTACATGGAAGACAAGGACAATTTCGCCATCTACTATGTGGTAAGTCGCTGTTTGTTCTAATCTCAGTTTCAACTTTGTTGTTCCTTTGGTCCTAGCCATACTTCTCTGCTGTGCTTCAGAAGTGGAAAAACGTAAAATCTTGTTCTGGCAACGACTTATACATAGGATGAACTCGAAAGGGTTGATCAGCGAACTCTAAGAGCATACGGTCTTTTTCGTACTTGATACGAAATCCTTTCGTGTTATTCTTTGCTGATGTCGTAATTAGTTAGCTTGTGTCCTCACACACGATAAGCTTCAATGCCTTTCAGAGCTAATGGTGTTTTCATTGCTACTTGGTCAGTTGTTGTAAATGGCTAACCACATTACTTAGCTTTTAAAAGGTTATGTTCTTTAGGGATCAAACGGTTTTTTCTATATGTATCAAATGATTCTGATAAAAACTTGGGGAACCCATTTGTTGAAAATGCTTTCTTGATCTAATGTTATAAGGTAAAACCCACAAAGAGGAAATGATATTCCGAGATCTTTTTTCCCGGGTTCAGCAATATTTTCGTAGTCTTTTTTGGATTGCAGGTTATTCCGTGTGCCGTTCTATCTGTACTTGTTCACCCAACAACACATCACCACATAATCAACAGGATTGCTTGGGCTTTCTGTGTTTACCTCGAAGCTGTTTCAGTCCTTCCTCAACTTAGAGTCATGCAAAACACAAAGGTATTTCCCTTTTCAATGCTTTTAAAGCTTGTGATTATTTAACCAAAACCCACAAAAAATCCCCCCCGTCTGTAATTCATCAAGAATTTCTGATTCTAATCTCGGTTGTGTGTTTCTGTTTCTCAGATCGTGGAGCCGTTCACTGCGCATTATGTATTTGCTTTGGGCATAGCTCGGTTCTTGAGTTGTGCACACTGGGTTCTTCAGGTTCTTGCCTGCAACTATAAACCTCTTTATCGTTCTTGGATTTGATTCAAATTATACTGAACACGAATGATTCTGATGGGATTACACTCTCACTTTGAAAATAGGTGTTGGACACGCGAGGGCGGCTGCTGACAGCGTTAGGGTACGGGTTATGGCCAATAATCGTCCTCCTTTCGGAAATCGTCCAGACTTTCATTCTTGCCGACTTCTGCTACTATTACGTGAAGAGGTATGCGTCATGAGCTCGTCTTTTCGTCTCTGGCTATTTGTTTTCGACACGATATTGCTGTCTTTGATAAAACCGGGTAATAGCTCAAATCACACCGGGTAATTCCCTGATTTTTTCTCGAGCAGTTTGATGGGAGGACAGCTCATTCTTCGGCTCCCCTCGGGGGTTGTGTAAATCCTGAGGAATCGGTTTGTCTGGTCGCCGGAGAATGGCCGTAAGATAAGGACAACATGGATTTGCTCAAAGCTTGTGGAGTATTTCAGGTTTTGCAGTCAAAAGCTTCAGTGACTTTTCTTCTCTCTTTACCGTCTGCCTTCACTTGTTCTTAGAAGAGTGTAAAGAAAACAAGTTGATCACAGATTTTTGAGGTTAATTTTTTTTTTTTAATTTAGGTTCTTATTATAAGCTTTTGTTAGGAGCGAAAGCAATTTAATCCCAATATCCTATGTTTACACTGCACGAATTCCTCATCCTTATCTCATGTTTGCCAATCTAGTCAAAGACACCAATATGTTGTCTTTTGACAATTTATATATATATATAGAGAGAGAGACATGGAGCATTTTTCATGTTCATGAGAGCAATAAGATTTATTATACATTTATTACATTTTTAATTTAAAGTAAATGAAGAAAAAAATATTATGAATATATCTTGAGGTCTCTTGGAATTTTTGGTGATGAGATTGTAAGAGATGTTATTTTATAGTTTAATATTATGTTATGAAATTCACAGGAATATTATGAAGAAATTGTTGTCCTAAATATATGTTATTTTACGTCATTTGTTTTGTTATTAAAGGTTTTTATTTGCAATAGTTTTTTATTTTTTTATTATTTTGTTTATACCTGAATCGAATCGTTTCAAAAAATCCGAACCAAATCAAAATATTTGGTTATAATTTTATTTTGTTAAAATCGAACCGAACCGTTTTAAAACTGAAATGTATCGAACTGATTTAATTTATATGGCTATTTGGTGTGATTTTTTGATAATCGAATAAACAGAAATCCAAAATAATCGTGAAATGAAACCCAAAATGTCCACCCAATAACAATTATACTTATGTACCTCACTGAATTTTTTTTTATATCCGAATATTTTATATCAATGTCTAGACTAATTTTAAGACCAAACACTAACCATATAATTTGAAATATAAAATTTCTCTCCAACCTTAAAATTCGAATTAATGGAAGAATAGACGCTTTGCACCTGAGTACACCAATTAAACTAGCCAAGTTTGGATTTATCTTAATAATTTTTTTTTAACATAAGCTGAAAATTTAAAGCTTGAGCTTATCCAATTGTAACAGCTATACTTGTGTGTGCGTTAAATTTTAGTTTCTCTAAGCGACGATACATCTGGATTCATGATCACCTAATATTCCCCTTGAGTATATTATTAAAGATAATTATATATGTCGACAATGTTTAATGATTAATGGAAATTAAATTAATTAAGAAACTACGTCTACTAAAGAGACTCATCTATAGACAAAATGATTAATATATTTTAGAATTATCTAAACCTTGTTCTGATTTGTACGTTTCTATAATAGTGTGCAAATTAATCTCACATTACCTAAGGTACAAATATGATCATATTATCGAGTAGCAACATTTTTTTTTGTAATCAAGTGTTTTGAGTCGAGACCCAAATTAATTATGTAGTCTAGAATAAACTATTTGATTATAATATCCGCTTTTTTTTCTCTAACTTGAGACTCGAACTCGGGAGAGGGACAAATGATTTACGTCTTTGTTTCACCGATTGAACTATCGAAGTTGGGTTTTATCGAGTAGCAACATGGGAAGACCATGTGTATAAATTAATTAAAAATATTCATAGTATACTCTTTTTTCCGATTTCTTTTCTAATTAATCCAAAATGGAAAAGCCAAGCAAAGAAAAGAAAATGAAGGCAACAAATTATGCCAAAAAAAATATAGAAAGGAAAAATAATGTTTGATTTTGAATGATTTGAGTGTTGGGTATTGGAGAATGAAGATTAGGTTATACAAAAGAAGGATGGACTGAAACCATTTGCTCAAAAGATACCATCTTTACAACAAACAATCACATTAATCATATTATATACATATATATATATATGTATAGGTTGATGATCCTATCTTTAAATTATGAGTTATAACTAAAAACATATAAAAGTTAGCTTCATAATTAAAATAATATGGTTTTGAATAACAATATCTTTGATTCGTTTAAATTTCAATCTAAAAGATCGGTTTTACGAATAACATGAATTATCATTATGTAATTAAACTCATATATCCACACTTGTAAAATTTGATATACCGATCATTCTTTTTTTCTCACCTTTTGTTTTAGCCTCTCTCATTTCTCACTTGCTTAAATTACAAAATTAGGTATATATACCTAATATTGGGATATTAAAAATAAAGCTTTAAACATTAGGTCGAGATTTGTCGTGCTATTAAACATATTGAGATAGAAAAAAAAAAAAGGAAAATAATATAAGATGAAAATAGAAAAAGACAGTTGTCAATTAGGTAGACAACAGCTGCGAGTGAACACAACAACACTTCACAGCTGTCCTAAAGGAGCTAGTTTCATGTTTTAGGACAATGAAAGTACACTTCACAAACAGTTGCCTTTTCCCTGAAATTAATTTTTAAATGCCCAAATTTCCTTTTAAATTATTAGCAAATTATTTATCATTACCCATATTGATTATGACTTTTGTTGGCCACTTGTTTATATTTTTATAGACTTTTTGTTGCTGTCAATTTTAAAATATAGTTTGGAATTGGATATATATGATTTTTGAGACGTAATCTAATATACCAAGAGTGAGAAACATGTTGACGTGGTGGAAGATTTATCATATCTCATCTTCCTCTCTAAACTATTTATATCATTTATGGATATTTGGATCATTCTTGTGTGTAGTTTAAATAAATTGGTTATTTTATAAGATTATCTTGAATCTTGAAAAAATGTAGTAGATTTATCGTGAAAAATACTATAAAAATTAGATGGGAAACATTATTCGATGGCCGTAGAACATATAATAAACAGTTTCACACGTGCATGTGTCATTCACATATTAGTCTTTTACAATTTTTTTAATAATTTAAAAATTCACCCAACTTTTTTATTCGATTATATCTCAGAAAATCAATAAAATTCAGACGAATATTTTTACCCAAATGAAAACTTGAATCTAGATTGAGAAAAAAACTTTAACTCGTCTCTTACCAATCGAATCACCGAATCTTGAATGTAATTTGCGTTTTGATCCTTATTTTTTTTATTTTTTATATAAAATATATTTGTTTTTCAAATTTAGATTTTCATATGCTAAAATTTTACCCCAAGAGAATAATATTATGCAGGAAATTACCAAGATCTCATTAGTGAGAGTAGCGTTTTTGTAAGTAATTAGTGATAATTTATGTAGTAAAAACAAAAAATAAAAAATAATGATGAGCTAATGAGTTTGGTCGGCAAAGAAGTATGGATTTGATTTGACAAATTTCAGTCCAAAGTTTAAGACAGAGGACGACTGTACTTTGATTTCCCATGTCATCCATGATCCCGAAATGACGCTTTCAGCATAGTTGTTCTTTTTCTTTATTTTTATTTTATTAGTTTTTTTCTACCGGCCAATCTATGACGCAAAATGGATTGATTGGTTTATCAACCATTTAATTTCCCGGTTTATTTCAACCAATAGATTGGGTTAATCTAAACTATTAATAATATATTCAAAACCAAATGGATTGGATTAATCTAATTAATCCCTTTAAATTCAATTAATCTATTAATTCTAGTTGATTTATAAATTAATATATTCTGTTTTAATGTGTTTTGATTCGTTTTAATTTGAATTTGTTTTTTCTCCGACTCATATTCGATTAAGATTCGGTTTTTATATAGAATTTCGTTCGAATTTGAAAACCACTTCGCCCCTTGAACTGATCAAACAACTCATGAACATCGACGATGGATACCGATTCTTGATAGTCACTTGATTAAGTTCTCTTAATCGACATACAATCGCATACTATCGCCCTTCTTCTTCACGAACAATAGGGTGCTTCCCAAGGTGATACACTTGGTCGAATGAATTCATTCTCCATCAATTCATTCAGCTACTTCTTCAATCCTGTCACTTCTATCAGAATCGGGAAGATCGTCTAGAAAGACATCGGTAAATTACTGAATTACGAGAATATCTTCTAACTTCATCTCAATCTCCTTGGTTGCGGTGATTACATTAGTCCGTTCATCAATCAAATTTTTATAAGTGTTTACATATTTATTTATCAAAGAATATAAATGTTGAATAATTCGAATTTAAATTTTTTAAAAATTATGATTTTGTATATTAACTTTTAGTTTGATTTGGTTTACGTTTTATTAAAAATTATTTATCATTTATTTTGAGTTTGTTTGTTTTTAGTTATTTACTAGTTTAGTTAAATTTAAATCTGAGTATAATTAAATACTATTCAATTAAAGTTAATTAAACTATTAGTTTTATGATTCAAGTGGAAATATCCATATTTATGTATTTTATTATATGATAGATCGTATATGGGGAGGATGATAAGGTTGGTGACTATGACTAAATATTTTTAAAAATAAAATACGGATTATCCGTGAGTCTAAGGTTTTGAGTTTGGACCATTATTTAATTCATCTTTCAAGACAACAAATTATAACCCTTCTTGTAATTAACAATATATTTAGTTTTTAATAATTAATTACTATGACTTTACGTGATTTCAAGGACATGCACATAGTATGGTTTAACACCTTCCCCGGACACGGCCATAAAGATTGAGCGGTTTATTATTTGTAAACAAAAAAAATGTATTGTATTTTGTTGTAATTTTTGAGAGCTTGAAATATAAAACAGCTTTGGAATTTTTCGTTGTTTCAATAAAAAAAAATGACTAATCAAAATTGGATGGTTCAACCGATAAATAATATGATAGATTCGAGTTTTTATTTGGAGAGATTTATTTAGACTTTCTCGATTCATTATAAGATATAGTTGGATTAAAGATACGACGAATTTTCGAAATATAAAAAAATTTTAAAAGGTGAAAAGCAAAGTGCTTTAAATACACACGGTTAAAAAAGAAAGAAAAGAGGAAAAATGAACTAGAAATATATACTAAGTTCTAGCCGAAAATAAGTAAACTAAATAATATTAAACAAAGCAAACCATATATTCTAATAATCAGATTAACAATGAAAAACAAGATAAAATCACATCAAGAATTTGTAACGAACGGTACCGAATTATCAAATATTTGAAAATTTTCAAACAACAAAAAAGGTTTAATATTGTATACTAATGGTCGAATAAAAAACATTTAGATCACTATTAAAAAGCGATTTAATATAAAATAGTTGGATCCTATTATTTTTCTCGTAAGAAATTTGTATCGCCCAATTGCCTTTTTATGGATTGCACATATATATCCTAAAAATTTCAAAGATTGACAATTTGTATACTTTGTTAATCACGACGCGTTATTTTCCACATTTTTATGTTTTATTTATATGCATATATTATATTTGAGTTATATTATATGCCCGAAAATTACAAAAATAAGCAGAAAATTTTATTATATTAGTATAGATAGTCTACCAAATTTATTAATAATAATAATAATAATAATAATAATAATAATAATAATAATAATAATAATAATAATAATAATAATAATAATAATAATAATAATAATAATAATAATAATAATAATAATAATAATAATAATAATAATAATAATAAT